TTTATTTATCTAATTTTATTTATTTATTTATTTATTTATTTATTTATTTATTTATTTATTTATTTATTTATTTATTATTTGTGGTGCCTGCTGTGTCCCTTTAACTAGGAAAGCAAAGCTCTGGCAATCCTCACAGTTGCCTTTCTCTTAAGTCACAGTGCCCTGAATTGGATCATGTGACTGTCTTGGCTGCAATAACAGTTGCAATATTCAGGAATGAGATTATCATAATTGGCTTAGATACCTTGTATCGTTCTTTTCTCAGAGCTGGGCAAAAGATCACCCTGAACTAAATCAGAGGGAAAGAATAGATACATGTTAGACCAGCAGTTCTCAGTGCTGCTCCATGTCAACTAAGTGAATCCTAGAAGCCACAAGCAAAGAAAGGACTTGATGTTGAGCCTTGAATCTTTTTGGAAAGAATTATTCAACAGGAGTTGAGTAAGTATACCAGACTATCAGCTTTAAAGGAGAAGGGATTGTGCTGTCTTGTTCAAGCTGTATTTATAGGACAGTACCTGATACAGAGGAGAGGCTTTATAACTATTTATTGAGTGATTAAAATAAACAAAAGGAGCCTGGAGAAAAGTAGCTGATGAGAAAGAAGCATGGGTCCATTCATCATCCAAATGGTTTCCCTAGTAGTTTTTGCTAGAATAATTGCTATAGTTTAAGTCAAGCAATGTCATAGACACTTCATGACTGGATTTTACAAAGTCAGCTAACACTGTTCTCTTGTGGAGATATGTAAACAAAATGTACTCAGGTGCGTTTTAGTCGAAGAGGGAAGCCTTTTGGAGAGGGTCTGCTAGATGGGCAGTACTGATACTGGTAAGAACATGGAACTTAGTGTGAGGAAGGCCTAACTTCTGGTTCAGTCTCTACAACCTTCTGTCTTCGTGCTGTTGGACTTCACTGTTCTCATCATATATTTTAGTTATACATGCTACAAAACGCATGAAAGAATTGCTTTTATTTTTGTTGTAAATAGTCCATAATCTTTTAATGGGATTTAAAAAATATACGACATGGGTGCACTTACCTACATGCAGGCAATACACACATACACATAAAGTAAACCAAAACTAATAAATAAAAAAATACTAAAAAATAAGAAAATTTATTTGGGGGCTCTTGAGATCCCCCATTTCCTTTGTATAGATTCAGATTTCCAATGGTGGCATTTTCTTTTTGTCTGAAAGACGCACCGTTCCTTATTAACTGACTCTTCTGGATTTGAATTCTTTCATTGTTTATGTCTCTCTCTGTCTTTCTCTATTCCTTCAGGGACACCAATTACATATATCCCAAGTTCACTGATACTCTTCTTATTCTCTCAGTGTTGCATTTTGGAATTTCTACCATATCACAACATTTTTAAAAAGTCCTTCAACTATACAAGCATGTATTTGTGCTTGTTAAAAAAATCTCAATGAGTTTATAATCTCTATATGCTTGATTTGGATTTTTTGAGACAGGGTCTTGGGTAGCACAAGCTTGCCTCAAACTTAACTTATAACGGAGGATGACCTTGAACTTCTGATCTTTACTTCCCCACTGTTCAGATTTAGGGTATGTGCCATCACTCCTGGCACTATGTAGTGCAGGAGATTGAACCCAGGACACTGTTGCTAGCTAGTCAAGCACTCTACCAACTGAGTTACAACCCCAGTTCAGATTTGTATTTTTTTTTTGAGACAGGATCTTCCTGTGGGCCCTAGCTGGCCTGGAACTTGCTATGTAGACCAGGCTGGTCTCAATCTCACAGAGGTTCCATCACTTCTCTCTAGAGTGCTGGCATGCACTATCATGTGCTACTAGATTTGGATTATTATTTTTAATATTTTATTTATTTTTATTTTATGTGTATGTGTGTATTGCCAGCATGTAGGTAAGTGCACCTGTGTCATGTGCAATGCCCGAGGAGGAAAGAAGAGGCTGTCGGATGCCCTGAACTGGAGTTACGGACAGTTGTTAGGGTGCTGGGATTCAAACCTGGGTCTTGTGCAAGAACAACCCAGTGTTCTTAACCACTGACCATCTCTCCAGCCCCTGGATTATTATTTAAAAATGACTTTTTCCATGTCTTATGTTGCTGTCTTTGACTACTAATACTATCATTTCTGTCATTTCTAGGTCTCTCTCAATTGATAGGCCCCTTCCCTATCTATGCATCACTCTTTCCTATTTCTTTTGCATGCCTGCCCAATAATTTCAATTTGACATCACTGGAAATTTTATCTTGTAAGGTGCTGGATGTTTTTGATTTCCTATTAGTATTCACTTGGTTTATTCTTTTTTTTTTAAAAAAAAAGTTTTGTTATTTTTATTTTATGTGTATGAGTGTTATGCCTGCATGTATGTAAGTGCACCTTTGCCCTGCAATGCCCACAGAGGTCAGAAGAGGGTTTAGGATCCCTTGGAACTGGAGTTACAGATGGTTGTTAGCCATCATGTGGATGCTGGGAATCAAACCCAGGTCCTCTGCAAGAGCAGCCAGTGCTCTTATCTGCTGAGCCATCTCTCCAGTCCCCTGTGGTTTATTTTTTACAATTTTGTCCTTTTTGGGGACAAAGATTTGTTAAGATTTAAGATTTGTTAAGTAGGACCACAATAGTCTTTACTATAGGGCTGATTTTGCTCTGCTACTGAGATGAGGTCATTCGTGTCATGAATTATGAAGCTTCCAGACTTAGTTTACGGTCCCATATGACCACCGAGTAGCTTTCAGCTCTGACTTGTAGGAACAAGAATAATTCTCCACCCTGTGCAAGCCATGGCAATTATTCTCTTTGCATTTAATAAATATATGTGTTTTTTTTTCCCTGGCTGTGGATAGCTTCCCAACATGTATATGCTAATTAGTTGTAGGCTAGATGGACTTTGGGTTGACAAGTCTCTTTGGTTTCTATCTGGTATTCTGCTTCCCATTCCAGCTGCTTTGTTTCCATGCCCTCCAAACTCTATCTCCCTAGTTCAGCACCATCCTGGATCTTCTTGGGTTCCTTCGTTACACTGCAGCCTAACCTCTCTTCCTAAGTGTTAAATCAAGGTAACCACAGGGCTCAATTCATTTCAGGGCCTGCTGTTTTGCTCAGCTACATGAAGTCTGATATCTGAATGTTATTGTTTTATATCTGCCTGTTTGGTTTGGCTGTTTTAAAGAAGACGGTCAATTCATTCCTGTTGCTCCATCTTTGGTGGCTAGACTGGTTGCTATAAATTGTTCTGTTGATAAAATAGATTACTTAGGGTGTCACAGGTTTCCAAAACAATTTTCATTAAGTAATCTGAACCACCTGGCAGGACAATCTGCATTTACAGGTAGAGTAACGCTTGCGTAATGTGCACTGCCAAAGAGTTGCCTACAAGTGAGTTCTATGTAAGACACATTTTATCTCTGGCTTACATTTAAAAGTTTCTGTGTCACTCTTTTAATTTCTTACCACTTTCTGTTTAGTACTGATTCAAACCCTGAGGCCTTTCTCTACTTTTCCCTCCATCTTTTTGTTGTGCTTTCTTTTAGTTTTTGCTCATTGTTTAGGCTCAGTAATCTGCACACAAAATTTCATGATGTTTTAGGATAAGATTTCCTCTTATTCTATAGTCCTCCAGAATTTAATTTTTTTTTAAGTAAGATAAATGTAAGGCTGAATAAATCCAGAGACTTTGACTTCAAAATGGTCTATATTTTTTATATGAATATCCACTTCTGCTTTGAGTTGCTTCAAAGAAGAGAATATTTATTTTTCAGGATGGGTCTATAAAGAAAAGTGGAAAGTTCAAGTGAAGGGATTCCTGTTTTTCTTGTGCCTCAGCTTTAGGTATTTACTAGGTTCTTACTATAACAAGGTATTGAGTGTTAAATAGGACCTGAGGCAAGTCACTGACACCATGAGTTTGGAACCTTGTCAAGCCCCGATACAAATCGATGAAGACATGAGATGTGGTGCTATAAACTTTGAGATTTCACAGGAGAGTGTGATAATTGTGAAATAGAGATGGCTTGAAGAACTAGTTCAGGATTCTGGGAAGAGTGGCACAATCCCATGCATGTCTAGGGATAATGGTAGGGACTACTGCTGGAGGAGTGGGGATCTCTCAGTTGTAGCTCTCTGTTGTAGGTCTGATGTGCCAAGCTCATTTAGACTCTAGGGAGCTATGGATAGCTTTTGATTGGGTTTTACAAGCACAAAGATTTATTTTGAGCAGTAGATTAGGGCAATAACGTGCAAGATGGACAAGAACCAGCAGCAGGGGCTTGAGGACAGACACTGTGCCTTAATCATCTTTGTTCCCAGAGCCTAGTTCATATTTAATGTGTGTTTCTTGAGTGATTCATCTTTTTCCTTTTAAATTGCCAATGCTCTTGATAACCCCTGGCCTTGTCAACTGCCATAGCAAATATTGCAAAAGAGCCCCTTCCTGTCCAGTGTTGTTTTGTTTAAATGGCTCAAGTTAGGTAAATTTACTCCAACTTCAACCTTTTTTTAAAAAGTAATTTTAGCCAGGTGTGGTGGCGCACGCCTTTAGTCCCAGCACTCGGGAGGCAGAGGCAGGCGGATCTCTGTGAGTTTAAGGTCAGCCTGATCTACATAGTGAGTTCCAGGACAGCTGGGGATACAGGGTAGACCCTGTCTCAAAAAGACCAAAAAAAAAAAAAAAGTATTTTTAATTGTAAATTGACAGATCATAGTTATACACGAAGTAAAGCGATTATTTATAAACACAATACAATTTAGCATACCACAATCTCAAACGCATCACTTTTTGTCTTCAGCATCCCTAGGAATATAGCACATTATTATTTAGTACCTTCACTGCACTGTGACATGTATCTCAAAGTGGAGGGGGTATACTCTGATGCCTCCTGGCGACTTTGTATCTTTCAAGCCTTCTTTGTCCATTCTTCATTTTTCTTAGAGGCTCAGCCACTCTTAAGAACTTTTACAACGTTGTAGCCATTTGCAAAGCCTGCCTCTGCTTGGTTTCACACATCTCATACAAGGGCAAAAATCACACCCAGACCTATAAAACCGGCCAGCCCCCGAGGCCCTCCAAGACAGGGCCAGGTGGTGGTGGTGGGCGCTCCCAGGTCAGATGGGGTCAAACAAGGGACAGACAGGCACACACACGCAGCCTGGGAAGTGTAACCATTCAGGTTCACTCGCCATCCTCAGCTCACACAGTCTATTCTCATCCAAGCGTATTATGCAAGGTTTGGAAGCTAGCAGCAGCGCTCTACCAGCTCCTGGAGTCCCTCTCCAGCAGCCCAACGTCACTGCCGCGCGCTGCTGCGTCATCAGGGCGCGCCGCTGCAGCAGGCTCTGGCCGCTGTGGCTGCCGAGGCACGGGTGTGGGTGGAGCCGAGCGGGTGCAGTCGGGTCCGCTGGGCCGGAGCGCGGGGACAGGTGCGTGCGCGCCCGTCGCTCCTGGGCCTGCCCCGGGCTTTGCAAGTGTCTGGGGCGAACTGGCTGCCTGAGTTCCGAGGTTCCCCCGGAGAAGTGGGCCGGGCTCGGGGAGGGGTCCGCATGGTTCTGTGCCGGGGACGCCTGCCTGCAGTGGGAGCGCACCGAGGACCGAGCCCGGTGCGGTCCCCGAACACCCAGTGAGGGGCGGAGGAGGGGCAGCCATCGCACCCCTGGGAACGCTGAGGATGCTGGGGGCTCTGCGAGCTGGTAATGGGCATCACCGGTGACAGCAGCCGCTGTGGATGGGGCTGAGCGCTCACTGTGTGCCACACCTGCCAGGAGCCCTGCGTGGGTTCCTCAGTCCTACCTGCAGACCAAGTAGGAGGGATGGTCTTCTGCCCATTTTCCAGATGGGAAAAGCAAGGCATAGAATTTAACCAACTTGGCCATATTTACACGGATGGTGTGCAGAGAGGTGGCCTTCTTGCCTTTGCCTGTGACAGACTGTCAGATTCCATAGCGGAACAATCTGTTCCGCTCAGCCCAGCTGCCTGGAGCCTCAGGGATTTTCTTTTATTTCTTTTTTTTGATTCTTTCCCTTTTTTTTTTTTTACCCCCCCCCCCCCTTTTTTTTTTTTTTCCCCCCCCCCCCCCATTGACCTTGAGTAAACCCTGTGGGGAGGGAAGAGGATCGGGCGTGGAATTCATGCTGGCATAAATCTCTTTTTCCTCCATCATCCCATTTCTTTTCTCAGACGGCAGCGTACGCCCCCTGTTGTGGATACTCTGCACCAGAAGCTGATAGCTGGGGGCCGAATCCTTAATTTATGAAACAGAAGACCCTTCACCCCAGGTGAAAAAAGACTCTTTTACTATTCCCTCCTGACCTCCAAGTCAGATGATTTCTTGTGTTAAATTGTTGTAGTTGTTTTGAGGGAAACAGTTACTGGAGCAAATTTGTGACGGGATTGTTAAATAAAACTTTTAAGGATGTCAGAGAACGCTGTTACTAACTGGAGGTGCTCTTTGGACTTTAAGGGAGTAATGTAATGCTAAATGAGAACCCAACAACTAAAGTCATTAGAGAATAGAAATTTTTATATTTTGTGTTATTGTCTGTTTTGGGAGTTCACTTACTTTGAATATTTTCCCTCAAGGTAGAAAGACCCTTATTATAAAGGATGAAAACTTAAAAAAATCAAATGCTCCCCAATGGTATCTTTCTTCTTTTTTTTCCCTTTGGTTTCTTTTAGAACATTGTATCAAGAGTGCAAATATTTATTTTAAATCATCACAAGAAAATAGAGAAACTTAATTCAGTTGAAATCGGAAACTTCTGAGGTGCTTTAATTGCCCTTATTTTTTTTTTACATATACTAATGCAAATTGGTACAGCTCCTAATTTAAAAAAATCTGGTATGCATACATATAATGTGTGTTGCATGAAATAAAGCTTATGGTGGGCTACAGAGATGCGTCAGTGGTTAAGAGTGCTTGGTGCTTGTTTAGAGGACTCCCAGCACCCATACCACGTGGCTCAGAACTGCTTGTAACTCCAGCTCCAGGGGATCTGCTGCCCTCTTTCTCTGGCTGGCATGTGCATGTGCACACTGCACACACCACACAGACACACAGACAGACAGACAGACAGAGAGTCATAAATAATAAACGTATTGGGACTGTTTTCCTGTGCCCCAGCTGGTCTGGAACTCACTGTGTAAACCAGGCTGGCCTTGATCTCACAGATAACCGCTTGTCACTGCCTTCCAAGTGCTGGTAAAGGTGGGCGGTCTTTATTCGTACAAGTGACTGTGGCAATTTTGTTCCGGAAGCTGAAGGATACAGATATTGTGGCCCTGTAAGTTCAGGACATAGCAGGATACAATTTTTTTTTTTTTTTTTTTTTTTTTTACCCTATGGTCAGGGCAACCTAACTGTTCATGAAAACACATGGTGCTAGATAAGCACTCTACCACGACCTACATACCAACCTTCAAGGACAGTTTTCATGCTGTGACTCACTGTACTAGAAATCCATGTTTATTTGATACCCTATTATGGAAGAAAATAATGTAGAACTCAGAATTTTGGAACCTGGTATAAAGGCTCTGGATTCTTCATTATTTTGAGTAGTACCTGTTTTTTGCAGTACATGATTTGGGAGTTACACTTTGTGACATGGATGAGTCTGCGCTGACCCTTGGCACAATAGATGTTTCCTGTCTGCCAAATTCATCAGAATACAACCTTGGGCGATGTAAGCACACAAATGAGGACTGGGTGAGTTTACATGAGAGTTGAAAGCACGTCACCTAAAAGGTTCATTGCCATCTCATTCATGAAAGTGCCTTGTTTGCAGCAACATAATAGGTATTCGTCATTGCTGAAGTTTCTGCCAATGATTAGAAGTGATGCTTCCGTCACCTGAGAATAATTTTAAAATTTCAATGGTATTGAAATTGGCAAGAAAAAAAATGCATGGAAAATTTAAGTACTGTGATTATGGTAAAAAGCAAAATACCTAGGGGAAAAATTTCCAGTAATGTTTTAGATAGTATATTTAAATATTTTATTTAGTATTTTTATGTGTATGAGTGCATGTATCTAATTGCACCCCTGACATGCAGTGCCCATTGGAAGTTAGAAGAGGGCCTTGGATGCCCTGGAACTGGAGTTATGGACAGTTGTTAGCTGCCATGTGGGTGCTGGGAATCCAACCTGGGTCCTCTGCAAGTGCAGCCAGTGCTCTTAACCACAGAGCCATCTTTCCAGCCCCTAGACAGTATATTTAAAAAGAAAGATTTTCTTTTCCTTTCAGTATCGATTCTCCGCAACTTATATATTTAAAATTTTTATTATTTTTATGTGTATGAGTGTATTGCCTGCACATATGTAAGTGCACCCATGTAATGCAATGCCCACGGAGGTCAGAAGAGAGCATCAGATTAACCTGGGATTGGAGTTACAAGTGTTTGTTAGCTACCATGTGGGTGCTGGGAATCAAACCTAGGTCCTCTGTAAGAGCAACCAGTGCCCTTAAGCAATGAGCCATCTCTCCAGTTCCCACAACTTATATTTAATAAACACAAATTTTATAATGTACATGAACTAAAAAATTAAAAATAGCACATTTGCAAAAGCATTTAATTGAAAAAGCATGCATTTTCTTGTGTTGTTTTTCGTATTTCAACATTACATGGAGTGTTTAAAATATCTCAATACAAATTTATATTAAGATTTTTGGTTATTTTAAGTCTGTTACATCAGTGAGCCCTGAGCAGTAAATAAACTCAGAAAAATTTTAGAACAGTGGAGCAGGTTTTGACCCCGATCAAGTAATATGGCTGTCATTTAAATTCTAGCCTTTAGCTCTCTGGATGAGGTAAAGGAGTGTCTTCAAGTGAACCTTGTTTTCATTTAAAGTCAAACACTATTCGCTGCAGTGGAGCAGCTCACCTCTGTGTTGGGCCCTCATCACTCTGCGGTGGGGTTGTGTGATTTGAAGGGCATAAGGTTGACTGAGCATAAAGGTTCCAGAGTCTAACTCATCCTGCTGTCAGACATCCCTTTTACTTCTGCAGCTTTGGATAGCTACTATTTACTCTCTACTCCAATGAGAACCACATTTTTGACTTCCACACAGGAGTAAGAATGTGCAGTATTTGTGCCTGGCTGTTGTCACCTTAACGAACTCCAGGTTTGTCAGTGTTTCATCCATTTGTATGGCTGAATAGTATTCCATTGGCTGTATGGGTCCTTTTGAGATAGCATCTCTCTAACTCAGCTAACCAGGCTGGCCTTGATCTCATAGAGATCCACCTGCCTTTGCTTACTAAATGCTGGGACTAAAGGTGAGCGCTATCATACCTGGCTCATGCCATATTTTTTATATCCACCCATTGTTGGATATCACAACTTTATTTTTCACCTTTGAATGCTATATATCTGCCAAACTTTTTTCTAAGTGTTGATCTTGGAACAGGGTACCTTGAATGAAAAGCACTCTGAAAAACATGTGATTATACTACCCCCCAAAAGCACAGTGTACTTTTCTGTTTGAAATATGTTAGTTTTTGAGATCACGATAAGTTCAAATCTCTTACCATTTAGATATGATTTCCCCCTTCTATTTATTAGGATGACTGTGGGTTTAGACCTGCCTTCTTCAGATCTGCAACATTAAAGTGGAAAGAAAGCCTCATGAGCCGGAAGAGGCCATTCGTTGGAAGGTGCTGTTACTCCTGCACGCCGCAGAGCTGGGTAAGAGCTTCCTTGCTTGCTGGCCAGTCAGAAGTAGGGCGTCTGTGGCATGGGCTTTCAGCTTTGCCAGTTTTTGTTGTTTGGTTTTAGTGGACTTGACTCCTTCGAGCCGAGACTCCTGTTTATGTCAATCAGATGTTTCAGGTAAAAAAGGTGACTTCATTGTAATTCAGTGATCTCGGTCCACACTTAGTCCAGACAGTATTCTTACTCTTTGTGCTTTTTGTCTCTGGTTTAAGGGAGAGTAGATTTCACTTTGAGTTAATTCTTCTATGGAGTTGATAGAAGCGATCACAAACAGACTATGCTTAGTTCTGTTGTTTCTATTTTGGTGAAAAAGCATAAGGCATGTAACACCTTCCACATTACAGTGTCTGCTCCAGAAGAGCCAGCTGGGTGAAAGGTGAACTGAGGGTGTTTGGAGAGAGGGATGAGTTAGCACAATGTGGAATTTTCCAAGGTGGTCCTCTAAGGAGAGTTACCCTTTGGAAGGCTGAATTAGATGATAAGCTCTTCTTGAGATGGGCCAACTATCTAGGATCCACAAGCAGTCATTTTATACAGGTTGCTTGTGACTTGTATGAATAGCTAACTGTACTGGTGTATTTTCTACTCAGGGTTGGCAGGAAGGAGTTCTGAGCTTGGCATAAAGAGATTTATGACATTGAGGAGATTTATGTGGAGCCCAAATAATTCATGTTAAATGTTCAGATATGCTTGAGACTGGCTTGTAAGAGATACTCTTTTTAAACTGGAAGTCCCTTGTTGGGTGAATTTGGTATAGTTGAAGGATCATGGACATTTCTAGTTTAGGAGTAAGGCCAGTTCTGACTTAGGGGACAGTGGAAATAGAGATTTAAATAGAAGATCATGTGGTGTTTCTTTTTAGACCTGGCCCCTCATCTAATTCTAAATTTGAATGCTTATGCAAAACAATACCTAAATTACAGTACTTCACTAAACAACTGCAGCTACAATGCATTCCTAAGTCAGAAGAGGGCGGTGGTGCTGTGGCTGGGGATGACAGACATATGGCAACAGTATTGATTTTTTTTTATATATGTATAAACATAGTGTAGATGCACTAATGGGTGGAACTGGACTTATCTTGAATTTCTTTCTTGGCATGTACCTTTAAAGTAATTTGTTTAGAAATATTTTTATAGTAGATTCTTGATATTTGCTGTCTTTTCCCTGAAATCCCATTTTTCTTTTCTATATAGATTGCACTTAAGTAATTTTTACATCTCATTGATTTTTCATTTGTTTTACATTTATTTGTGGGCCTTTTACCTTCTTAATATTTTATGTATTATTTTTATTTTATGTGTATGGGTATGTATGTAAGTACACCTGTGTTGTGCAACCCCCGTGAAGGTCAGAAGAGAGCTTCAGATCCCCTGGAACTGAAGTTACAGATGGTTGTTAGCCACCATGTGGGTGCTGGGAATTGAACTTGGGTCCTCTGCAAGAGCAGCTAGTGCTCTTAACTGCTGAGCCATCTCATTGCTCTGGACTTTTACCTTTCTGTTCACACTGCTGAGATGGTAGACTCTGTCTTTTCAACAGAGAGCACTCTGACTTATTTTTCATTATCACCTGTAAAGTGATTGACTTGTAAGTGTACATTTTTTTCATTAAGTGGATTTGGGAAATGGAAAGATCTGAGATTGAATCCTAAAGTTCTGGTAGCCTCAATTTTCTTACCTATAAAATGAGTATAATCTTATATGTCTTATGCATTGAGAGATTTAATAATTAATAGTAACCGTATTGATAATATTTTGCATTTTGAGAGGACTGAAGTCTGTGACTTTATTGTGAATGACTATAAATTTAGCTCTTTGGGGATAGAGGTGAGCGGTGGCATAGGAAAGGAAGGAGAACTGTCTCCTTTGGTTTTAAGGTTTCAAAAGTTAAATTTGAGTTTGTGACTGTCTTTGAAGTGTTAAAAAGAACTATTCAGTGAAACCTGTTTTCCTCATTCTGTAGATTTCTGAAGCAATATCTAATGACATGCTTGAATTGTAAATGTCTTCTAGAAGCATTGGGGGTAGGGGTGGTTCCTCACCTTCACTTCTGCTGTGAACGCATGTCTACATTTATTTTGTTTTTTAATAGGAAAAGTTTTTCAACCCCGGTATCCCATCTCTGGGTTTGCGGAATGTTATTTATATCAATGAAACTCATACAAGGTGAGAAGAAATTTCTTATGTTTCTAATAAGCCTTTAAAGGAAAATCCTATAAATGCTAGTTAGCATACTTTAAGGCAAAACTATGGGTTTGAGAGTGAGTCCAACAGGAGCTTTTGGTATAAGAGGCTTCATCTAGGAACAGAAGCGGGACAACCAAGACTCCTGCTCTCCTGACTTCTCCATGGTGGTGTGGATGCTACTTGTTTACCTCAGCCCTGGTGTATTGACTTTTGCTAAAAAGTGGGAAATAGTTCTTTGAGAATAGGAAATAGTTCTTTAGTAGTTTGAGTGATTTAAGATCTATTGTGACTGTTTTATACTAAATATATATAGATATATATGTGTGTATGTATATATGTATTGCTGTCAAGATGGCTTAGCCTGATGACCAAGTTGGTTTCCTGGAACCCATGATCTAAGGAGAGAACTGACTCCTGAAATTTGACCTTTGACCTCTATATATTCACATGTATGTACGCAAACGCACGCACACATTAATAATAGAATTTAAAAATTAAAAAATGATTCAAATCTGCCTAATCCTTAGAGTGCTAGAATATATTTTCTTCTACTGAGTAAATGTCCCCCTTTTTAATAGTGTATATTCATTCTACAAAATGATGGATTTCATCACATTTTCATAAATGTATTCTTTATTGTTACTATTAAATATTCGTTTCTTTCTTTCATTAATATTTTAGATCAGCATACAAAATGCTGGGTTTTGTTATATTTTTGTAATACACATCACTGTGCTTTGCTCCTATTCATCCCCTTCTTTCTCTTCACACGTCTCTTTCCTGTTGATCCCCTCCCACCAGCAAATGTTCTTTGACTTATTTACCTAAGACAGTTTTTAAAAAGAATTCTTACTTTCAAATTCCAAGTATGTGGGGATGGGCTGATAGGTGCCAGAGAGAAAGATGCTTTTGTTTTATGAGTCAAGGTTAGAAGATATGGAAGGAAAAATTAGAAAACTGTGTCTGTGATGCAAGGGGAGCAGCAGCTCGAAATATTAGCAGTCCTTAAAAGTCTAAGGGTGGGTGCCTGAAGACGGTGAGGAGTATTCTTGGGGTCTTGAGAAATGCTTGAAAGTCTATGAAAAAGTCTATGAAAAAGTGATCCAAGAATGCAGTATTTAGATTTGGTGCTTGATGGTTCTGTTCGTAGTTAGATGATGGCTCTTTTGTGAGACTGGTGCTACCTGTCCAAAATTAAAGATTCCTTTTGTAGTAGAACTAGAATCCAAGTCAGTGAACACTTTCATTCTTCCCATTCTTAGGCTCCTCTCATTTTTCTTTCCTCTCTGTCTCTCTTCTTTAACTTTAAAGCAGAGAGGAGAGACTGGTCCTTGAAGTATTTGTTTTCTTTCTTAATTGACATGACTATAATTCTAAGTAAAGGAATATTTTCTTCTTTATGTAAACAAACATTTTACACATGAAACCAAAACTTTTGTCTATTGTCCCCAGTTGGAACAGTTGTAATAAAAGTAAATTTAAGCGTTGGCTATATTAACTTGGCAATAGAGGAAACTATTCAGTGAAATCAGTTGCCCGTATAGCTGTTTAGTTTTATGAAGCAAACCTAAATACTTTTACAAGAACATGTACACATAATTCTCTCCTGCACACACTCAGGCCATTCATACATGTTCCCGTGTGCTCTTACTCCTACATTGTCATGAATTCACTCGCACTTTACTTCCATATGCGTGCAGTGTTTTTAGTTAGTTGCAAAAGGATTTCAGAGAGAGCTTGGATATTGTATGTTATGGTAATAATCTGAAAGTGTCCACTGAAGGAAGAGTTTAGTGTGACTGGAACATAGTGGGCTAAGTTTTCAGAAGGTTGAGACAAAGGCAGAAGAGGAAGAACCAGACAAGGAGAGATGAGCAAGTCACTCACCAACAGTGCTCGGTCTTCAGATCTTTTCAGTTATGGACTTCGTACTTGAAGTCCTCTGTCTGTGTCGCAGAAACCCTGCCTTTCAAATCTAACAAAGACTTGTAAGATGCTTACTGTGCAGTGCATCTCATGCCCCCAGCTAAACACCATGTAGTCACCGTCACCAACAAGAATGTCGTTTCCCTTGGACAGATTGAATATGTGTTGACAGTAAAAAAATTGGCCTTGCAGATTCAGAGTACAGGAGTTCAGATCATGCCGTAAACCAGTTATGCTTGACTTCTTTTATCTGATTAGCCTTTTTAATTCAGTTGGAGAATCAATGCCTGTCTTAGAGGAAATGCTATAATAATAATTAAAAAGTAGCCCTTCCTGTTAGGAAAAAGACTTCCAATTTCATTTTTTTAAATAGCCCATACCTATAGCTCTAAGCTATATCTCATCTGCCTACCTCCACACATACATAACTAATAGGTAACATTCAACTCGACTTTTTAGTGGTGTTGATAAAGCCAAAATTTTTATTTCTTTTGTTTTCACTACTCAGCAAAAATAAGACTATTCAAGCATTAACACACAAATTCTGAGTATCAGTTTTACCTGAGAACACATGAAAACAATTATGAATAAGAGTGACTGCATAGCAGCCTGACCTGCTAAGGACAGCTAGCTGTTTTTGTGAAAGAGGCACTGCAGTGAAGGTGCTAGGACAGCTGTGGGAGGGGAAGCACTGCAGTGCAGGTGTGCTGGGACAGCTGTGGGAGAGGACCCACTGCAGTGCAGGTGCTAGGACAGCTGTGGGAGGGGAAGCACTGCAGTGCAGGTGTGCTGGGACAGCTGTGGGAGAGGACCCACTGCAGTGCAGGTGCTAGGACAGCTGTGGGAGGGGAAGCACTGCAGTGCAGGTGTGCTGGGACAGCTGTGGGAGGGGAGGGGACCCACTGCAGTGGAGGTGTGCTAGGGCACTTGCTGAGAATTTGGTTTTGCATTGCAGGCACCGAGGGTGGCTGGCAAGACGTCTTTCTTACATCCTTTTTGTTCAAGAGCGAGATGTCCACAAAGGCATGTTTGCCACCAATGTCACTGAAAACGTCCTGAAGAGCAGCAGGTAAGGGCAGGGACACTGTTGTCAAGGTGGGGCAGGCCGGTGTGGTGGATGGGAGTGGGAAGTAGTGAGTTTGGTTTTGTCAGATAGTTACTTAGTGCCTCAGTCCAGATGCTTGTAGTAGAAAGCCATTGCTAGAAATCTTTGCTCTCAGAGGAACTTGTGTGCTTGTGAAGGAGGTTGACTTGAAGCCATGTGGAAGCAGCTTATATCCTGATGTTTCCTTGAACAAACCTGACCCAGGAGAAAGGGCTACATACCTTCATTAATGTGTACCACACCCCCAGGAAAGTGATTGCCCTGTGTGGTTGAGAAACTACAGTGTCCTCCATAGGGGAGAGGAAATGAGGGGGTGTAGGAGATTTTGAGGTATAGTAAATGGCTTTAGGGGATTATGAGTAAGCCTGGGGATCAGGAAGTCCCTGGGACAAAGTTCCTCTGGACTCTGAGACATTGGATGAGGAACGGAACTGCACTGGGAAGTGTCTCGTTCTTCAGGTTAGTCACACAGGTCTCTGAAGCCCAGACTTTGCACGGTCTTTGGGTCTCCTTTCTGGCGCTCAACCTTCCTGCCTGCTTAGTGCGATTGTAGGAGGGAGTTGCAGATAATCTCATTTCTTTGAAAACTTTTCTCAGTCAGATAAGGGAATTACGGAGGGCACCTTTCCATACCCTTGGTCAGGAGAGATGACAGAAAGATAGAGAGCCCTGGACTACAGCACTTTCCAAGGCCTTCCAATTACTTTTAATTTGAAGAGGTGCAGCTTGCTGAACACCCATACTTTGGGGTTTGGTTTTCTGAACCTCAAAGTGTGGAATTTGAGGGAAAGGTGTTCTGTTTTGCCTCCTTGGTGTGGCCCATCTTAGATAAGGTGTAACTGGACTCAGAGACCAGAAGATGGGGTGGATTGAGAGCTTCTTTGAGTGTGCAAGCTTTGTTTGGAGTCCCTGTGGGGTTGTGGCTACAGTCCCATTAATGCTGGTACATAGTAGATACTCATGGAAACACATTAAAGGAACCAGTGAAAGCTGATAATAAAGATATGATAATCATATCAAATACCCTGAGAAACATTCTCAGTCAGATATAGTAAGTACTTTCTAGTTAAAAACGTCCAAGTACTTAGGGTGGTAGAAGTATTTTAACAAAGTTCAACCTCAGGTTTTCTCCCAAAAGTCGAGTGAAAGATTTATTAAATTGGATTAAACACTTTCTTTTAGCTTATTTCTTATTGCTTGGTGCTGGGTTTTAATTTTTAAAATTTTATTATTTTTTATTTTTATGCGTATGAGTATCTTGCCTGCACATGTGTAAGTGCTACCCATGTTGTGGAGTGCCCACAGAGGTTAGAAGAAGGCATCAGATCCTCTGGAACTAGAGTTTCTGATGGTTGTTAGCTGCCATGTGGGTGCTGGGAACCAAACCTGGGTCCTCTGCAAGAACAGCCAGTGCTCTTAAACCACTGAGTCATCTCTCTAGCTCCTCTTTTCTCTTATTTTGCTAGAGTGCAATTTGTGTCCCTCAAGAAAGCCCCATTCAAGTTCCTTGGCTGTCACCCAGTGAATCTGAAATCCTTAAGTCTTTTTTTCTGATTTCTAAGAGATTCACAGATTTAGCAATGTGACATCTGTCTGTTTTGGTAGATAAGCAGGGTGAACATTTGTAACTTGAACTCATTCTTTCATGTTGCCACATTTTAAAGAGAATATGCATTTTCTGCATATTAAGAGAATATGAATATTGTTCAGTTTTCCCATTTTATCCATTTAGAGGTGTAGTTTAGAAAATCCTGAGTATGGACTGTAACGTAGATCCCGTTTCACTGTCTTTGTTTCCGTTTTCACATTAGAGTCCAAGAGGCAATTGCTGAAGTGGCCACTGAGCTGAACTCCGATGGATCTGCCCAGCAGCAGTCCAAGGCCATCCAAAAAGTGAAAAAGAAAGCCAGAAAGATCCTTCAAGAAATGGTTGCCACTGTTTCCCCAGGGATGATCAGGTATTAGAGGGAGAGCATAGCATGTGGCCTGAGCGAGCCTGTTCTGAGCAAATAGATCAGAACCAGTGGGCTTCCTCTTCCAGCTCAGTTCTTATTGAGGAAAAAGACATTAATGTGCTTCAGTGATAAATCCAGCTCTTTGGATGCAGCTGCATGTCAAGTGGCACAGGGTGACTGGGAGGTGCCTTCTGCTCTACTGCTCTCTGTTCTCCTCAAATGGTTGAGTCAGGCCTCACGTATCCGTGTCTTAAAGGGAGTGGCTTGTATGTGTTAGAGGAATCTTCCTCACTAAATATTCGCTTTGGCCATTTACCTTTGAAGTAGTAGAATTATTAGAGTAAAATACAGTCTTTATTCATAATGAGTAGATACTTCTAAAAGTAGTGTCTGTTTAAAGTCAGCTTGCTCCTTCTGCAGTTCAGATACCTAGGTGTGCACACACCTTGAAGTCACGAGTACTCTTAGGTTGTAGGCTGAGATGCTGAAGTAGACAAAAGTGAACTATATGCAGATTGCTACATACGCTTATACCTACATGCATATAGATTTAAATGTCTTCATTTCTTTCAGACTGACTGGGTGGGTGTTGCTAAAACTGTTCAACAGCTTCTTTTGGAACATCCAGATTCACAAAGGTCAACTTGAGATGGTTAAAGCTGCAACTGAGGTCAGGATTTCTGTGACTCTGTCACTCTATTTCCCCTGTGGTTGTGGAGTGATTTTAATTAATGAATTATTTTTTATGCATATGAGTGTTTTGTCTGTATGTGTGTGAGTGCACCTGTGTCATGCATTGCCCGTGGAGGTCAGAAGAGGGTGTTAGATCCTCTGGAACTGGACTTATGAATGGTGGTTATCAGGAACTGAACTTGGTTCCTTTGCAAGAGCAGCCAGTGCTCTTAACCATTGGGCCATCTCTCCAGCCCCTTGTGGAATAATTTTAGAGTTCTTTTAGAAATTCCCTCTTGCAAACTGTTGGGCTTTTGGACCCATCTGGAAGCTCTTGCCCTTTTTGTGATAATGGTAATAGGTGTGCATTTGGTGAGAGAAGCAGGGTGCAGAAGGGCTGTCAGCTATGTATAGGATTCCTCTTGTAAGTTACCTTGCAGCAGCCATAAAAGTCAAGTCATATGATCCCTGTTTTAAACATAAAGAAACAGAGGCAATGGAAGAATGAGGAAATTGTTCTAGGTCAGAGATACTATGTGATTTGCCCAGTATTTCAAACTGAGCCTGAGTAGAAAAGCCCATGCTTTTTTTCTGTAGTGGAGGCTGCCTCTCAGAGGAGGTGGAGCTCAGGTTAGCTCCTGTTTCTTCTTTCCCCAGCTCCTCACTGCTGCTGTTACAGTGGCTCTTGTGTTTAGATACATAGACTTTAAATTGAAGTCTTAGTACAAAATGATTTTAGAGAGTGAGTCACTGATTGGTCAGGGTTGAGTGGCTGTAGCCAGACTGCAGCAGAATGGGACTGAATGTTACCCCTGAGCTTTCAACATGGCCCTCTGCTCCTCACTAGACAAACCTGCCGCTCCTGTTTCTGCCAGTGCACAGATCCCACATTGACTACCTGCTGCTCACCTTCATTCTCTTCTGCCACAACATCAAAGCGCCATACATTGCCTCAGGCAATAATCTCAACATCCCCATCTTCAGGTACCATCCACTTACTTTGAAACAATGAATGGTGTTTTGAATTTTGGAATTGTATTTTTTTTTTTTGATAACTTGATACATGTTAAAATGATGATGTATTTATTTTTTTAAAATAAATAATGTTCATTCATTGTGTAATATTAAGATAGTACAAAATACAAAGCATTATCACTATTGTGTAATTGCTTCTCGGCCTTTTGGCTAAGAACAAGCGTGATTATCACCATTGTTTATGTATTTGATGTGGGCTACTGGGTGAACTGTGCATAGCTGAGCCTGATGGACAGTATTTACCAGGAGGCTGAAAGGCAGTTAGAAAGGCAAGTACCAGGCCTGGCAGTAGGAAGGTGAAGTGGCTGTGTGCTGGTAAATAAGAATAACCGTACCTCTTACCTTGACCTCTAATTTAGAAAGCACATATGAAACGAATAGTGTTTTGTCGAGCTTTTCCAGAGGTTGCAGTGCATTCTATTCAGAGGGAATGTTATGTGCAGAGGCAGAGGGATCAAGAGCGTGGTGTGGAGAAGTGATGGACAGTCAGGTGAAGTTAAAATGTGTGGTAGGATGCCTGGAATAGAGGCCGGAGGTGGTTGTGGCATGGGTAGTAAGAGCTAGATGCACAGCAGCTCTAAGCCAAGGGCTTGTAGTCTGTCCTGACTGTGAACAGTGACATGTTAAGACCTGTATTTTGAATGGTCATTCTGGAATAGAAGGGGTTAATTTCGATTCTAAGAATTCAGACAAAAAATGAGGGTGTATATCAAAAATGTAGTAGTGCTCTTGAAGAGGAGAGTAGAAACAGACAGAATTTGGTAAACTGAGCTCCTGAGACTCAGTGCTTGTCCAGATTGGGAGCTCAACTGAGGGGTGGAGAGACACCATAGTATCTACTGTGTTTGATCACTGAGGAGAGTTGCTGAAGACTAGGTTTAGCCAGTCTGAGAAACTGAACTTTTTTTTTTTTTTTTTTTGGTCTTTTTGAGACAGGGTCTCCCTGTAGCTCCAGCTGTCCTGGGACTCGCTATGTAGACCAGGTTGGCCTTGAACTCACAGAGATCCGCCTGCCTCTGCCTCCGGAGTGCTGGGATTAAAGGCGTGCGCCACCACGCCCGCCTGAGAAAGTAAACTTTTAAATGTCAAAGTGCCAAGCCTTCACCTCTAACATCAGCTCTGTGAATTGGAAATGAGTAAGAGGAGGATGCATGTGGAGAGGAAGGGCAAGGGAAGAGGGCTGGCAGGCTGTGAGTCTGGGCCTCACATGGTGGCTTTCATTACCTTTGTTCTGTGAAGTTGGGGCCTTAGCCTCACCATGCTGGGAACTCTTTCCTGATCCCTGGGCCCAGTATTGTGCAGGCCCACAGAGTTCTATAGCTAATCAGACCTCTGCAGTAAGCAGAAGAGAAACCATCCATTTAAGTTGTCAGTGATATTTATCCAGATGTGTTTTAAGCAAGCAGGAAGAAGACACATACATAGTCGTAGCTGTCAAATAGCTTGTAATCTAATGGGGAACACAAACACCTAGCATAATACACTGGTATAGGAGCCTTCAGGGCAAACATGAAGTTGAGGTTGTCCTCTGCCTCATACTTGTACCTCTATACACACACACACACACACACACACACACACACACACACACACACGACAGGCTTGGTGTCAGAACTAGTCTCAGAACTTAGATGGCTGTTCTCCCAGGGCTCTGCTATGATCATGGGCGCCCACATGCTCACTCCCTCCAGATATGAGTCTCAGCTAGGCTTTTTGTAAGTGCCTAATAGATGCTTATAATTTCCCATAATTCAGCTTTTCTTTTTGTGAACTTGTCAGTCAGTGCTTAGCTCCTTCTGTCTTCAGACAGGGCGGATTGTAGATGGCCTTGCTTGTTTGTTTGGACTTTCTTTTATCATATTCCGATCTACACAGTGACAGTCCACTCTCAGGGTCCATTCTTGTTCATCGTGAATTTATCCTGCAGAATTTTGATATCAGAGTGATTCAGCAACATTTTACCTTGACTTCCATATATACACTATAAGGGATATCAGAATACATTAATATTGAATATGATGTCACTGTCACTATACTAATATAAATATTACTATTTATTTCTATTTGAAAACAATTTCTCCTTTTGAAAAGACTAGGAAGAGGCTCTAAGTTTGGGAAAGCTGACTTACAGAATTTCTGCTTCATATTCAAACTTGTCAGGGTTCCAGAAATAGACTTGGGCTTGGGAGTGGAAGTGTGTTCTTATATGTGTGGATGAAGCCAGGTTTTGGTTCATGTTTTTTAAAGATAATTACACTTGGTTTCAGTTTGATAAAATTTTCCTCACCTCATAGGGACCCACTTTAAACAGTTACAACAGTTGAGAACATTTTCCCCAGTGGTGAACAAATGTTCACCAGTTACAACAGTTGAGAACGTTTTCCCCAGTCGATATTTGTTCACCTTGTAGATTTGATGTGGACCAATTTCTGTGTCCAAGAGCCTATGTTTTGAGACCCTGGGCAGGAATTTTGTTTTTCAGGTTTTTATTGATTAATTTTGTTCTCTGACCATTTCATACATGTGTAGAATGCATTCTGTTACTCTCTCCCCACTTTTACTCCCTCCCTTCCCTCTGAACTTCCCTCCTCCTCCCTGTAAACTCATCCTCCTGATCCCTATGAACTGCCCCCCCTCCCACCCCTCCCCACCAATTTTTTCCTCAAATTCAGGACTTTTAGTTTTGTTTTGTGATCCATGTAGTTTAACCAGGGCCATCTGTGTGAATTGGCTTGGCACTGTCCATTGGAGCCTGGTAGGATCACCAGCATATACACAGCTGAAGGCAGGATTTCAAAATGTAGAGGTGTTTCAGAATTGTCTTAAAATCTGTACCATCACCTTTGTGGCATGGTATCACATTATGACTTCCTTTTCTGTCTTGGAACTGGTATTATAGCTCTTCATTATGATGTGGTGCTATTCCAGAGGCTGAGGGGTGATAGGAATGTTTGAAACATGTCAATAATATGGAAATCCTGTCTGCATTTCCCCTGTCAACATTCATGTGGCATATGCAGCTTAGATCTGAGTGGCAAATGTTTTGAAGTATCTTGACATTTGAGTATTCTGTTTTACATGTTTCCTTATAAATAATCCATGCATTTTTGAATTTACAGTACTTTGATCCACAAACTTGGGGGCTTTTTCATAAGACGAAGGCTTGATGAGACTCCAGATGGACGGAAGGACATTCTCTATAGAGCTTTGCTTCATGGGGTGGGTATGACCTCTAATTATCCTTAATGCCACTGTTAGCTATCATAGGGGAGCAACAAGGATATTTGGTTGATCTGGGATTCTTAAAAACTTGTTCTGACTAATTTGAGAAGTTATTGCTTAGGTGTGAGTAGTCATTTTTTGTAATCTCTGAAATACAGCATTAGTGGGATGCTTTGCTACTGTGGGTGAAGTATTTTGTCAGTAGCAACATCATCATTTCTTCTGTGTTTTGTCTTAAGGTTTAACTGTTCTGAGCATATCTGAGTTGCATAATTCATGCTTGACTTTCCCTCCTGTCTCAGCACATAGTTGAACTACTCCGGCAGCAGCAATTCTTGGAGATTTTCCTGGAAGGCACCCGCTCCAGGAGTGGAAAGACCTCCTGTGCTCGGGCAGGACTGTTGTCAGTGGTGGTGGATACTTTGTCCACCAACACCATCCCAGACATCTTGATCATCCCTGTGGGAATCTCCTATGATCGAATAATCGAAGGTCACTACAATGGCGAACAGCTGGTAAGGGGACAGCCTGCACAAGGTCATCTTTGTCTTTCAAGCTCCGCTTTTACTGTTAACACTCAGTTAAGAATGAATTTTTTGCTAAGAATGGTTTGGGGGGCGTTGCCTATGTAAAACCTGGCTGAATGGACATGGTGAGTCACCTTCCCCTCTGGGGTCAACTCAGGAGGGAGTCTCATGTGGTGCTGTCCCACATTTGGAAGAAGTCCCTGATTATGTGTGCCCGTGCTGGCCTTGCTCATAGAACTGGTGGTAGAAGGCCACTTGTTAATGAGTTATCCCTCCCTGTGCGAGGTTATCCCTACATTGCTCTCTCCAGGGTCTGTGGATTATGTGGGAATTTTTCTGAAACCTAAAAGACTGGTTGGGTCATGTTAGCAAAGCAGCTGCAAATTAACTTGAGAAATAGCAGAAAGTTTTTTCAGTAAACTTTTTTATTGAATTATAATAATTACCAAAAAATGCACAAGCCATTACTTAGCCCCAGAGGAAGGAATATTATCGAAATCTTCTTGTGCCCCCTCCCCCCCGTTAGCCACTCAAGGAGGGCAACTTGTTTAACTTATAGATTAGTTTAGCCTGGGTTAGATCTTTATGTAAGTGGAGTAATGGACTTTGTAGTCCTGCATCTGATCTCCTGTGCTCACACAGCATTTGTGAGACTCGTCCATGGTGCTGCATGTGGTTCAGACCTTCTCACAGTGGGCACCGGCATGGTATGAATAAATCCTAATGCACCCAACTGTTTGAGAAAAAGACCTAGTCTTAATGCATTTCTCTTGGTGACCCTATGGATTCGTTTTGTTGTGTGTACACCTAGGAAGGAGTGGACAGTCACAAGTGTGAGTGTGCTTTATGTTCCAGACACAGTGCCAAAATGGTTTTGCCAGCTGACCACTCCTAGTGCAGTGTGGGTGTGCTAGAGGAGCTTAGTTTTATTCTGATTTAGTGAGGAAGTAAGTCTTAGACAAAATATGTGCTTCAAAGGTTCTGCTTTCAGTATGTCTGAAGTTCTAGGATTCTTGACAATTGGAGAATTTAAAAACCGGAGGAGGTATCTAGATTTTTAGCTGGCTGGCATTCTTCAATTTGTGATGTTGCTGTGCTTGGTTGGAGGGTGACCTTGTGTGTCATACAGAGTGTTCAGTAAATGCTTTCTGTAAACCATCAGTGGAACGGCTGCTATGAGGCCGACTTTGTCCCTTTGTCACCTAATATTAAGTATTAGACTCTATAGTGATTTACTGACCTTGTCTAGGTGGTTTCTTTGACCTCTGATTTTTAAGACACACACACACACACACACACACACACACACACACACACACACATTTTAAATACTTATTATTTTGTGTATGAATGTATTGCCTGCATGTGTGTAAGTGCACTTGTGTTGTGTAATGCCCAGGGAGGTCAGAAGAGGGCATCAGATTCCCCTGGAACTGGAGTTATGGATGGTTGTCAGCCACCATGTGGGTGCTGGGAATTGAACCTGGGACCTTTGCAAGAGCAATCAGTGCTCTTAACCACTGAGCCATCTCTCCAGCCCTTAAAAAAATATTTTATGATTTTTATTTTATATGTATGAGTATATTGCTTGCATGTAAGTAGGTGCATCCATGTCATGCAGTGCCCGTGGAGGTCAGCAGAGGGCTTCGGATCCCCTGGAACTGGAGTTCTGGAAGGTTGTCAGCTGTCGTGTGGGTGCTGAGAACTAACTGAACCTGGTCCTCTGCAAGGGTAGTCAGTGCTCTTAACCACTGACCTCTCCTTTTTAGCTGAGTACTTGCAGCACTGTTTTTCAGGGTAGTGTGGCAGTGTTACATCATTTTGTCCTTCACTGGTTTATAGCTGTTTGCTTATGAATTATGTGAACATGAACTAGCATTAAATGTTTCTCATTGACTATGTTTCCTCTCCTATATGACAAGGTTATGTTTTGTTAGTATCTTGAATACTAGACATTTTCTGATAGGTCTCAGTTAAGGACATGCTAAGTCAGACATGTCCAACATGTGGCTTGCAGGCCACATGTGTCCCACAGATAGGTATACATGAGACTCAACTCACTTGTAGACAGCATGTCATTTTGCAGTGTCAGAAGGTTAGGCATGCCTGACTCTCAGTTACTTATTTTCCTTCTTTGCTCATCGTCTCTTTCAAGATAAAATTCAAATTTCTATTAAAACAAACTATTCTAGCTAGGCATGGTGTTTCATGCCTGAAATCTTAGCTCTTGGGGGACCAAGGCAGGAGAATTTTGGGTTTGAGGCCAGCTTTTGGTACATATTAAGGTCAAGGCCAAGTTGGGCAGCATAGTGAGACCCTGTTTCAAAAGAAAATTTTTCTTTTGCCAAGACACACAGACATAAACAAAACACAGAACTACCTTTATCTAAAAACCATAATATTTGTGTGTTAGCTTCACTTCTTATCATGCTTCTTTTTTCACCATTGGATTTAGGGCAAACCCAAGAAGAACGAGAGCATCTGGAGCGTGGCGAGAGGTGTCATTAGAATGCTACGGAAAAACTATGGGTACGTCAGAGTGGATTTTGCACAACCATTTTCCTTGAAGGTGAGCGTCTGGTGGGGTGAACTGGTTAAGCGTTGGCCCAGGCAGAATTCCTGATGCTCCTCCTGGCTCTCGCCCCTCCTGGCTCTCGCCCCTCCTCTGTGATTGGAGCCTCCTTTTCCTCCTGCAAAGTGGGGACTATGATGAAAGTAGCCTTTTCTAAGTTTTCCCTCCTGTGGACACCTGAAAATGAGTGTCTTTCTTTGGGAGATACCAGGCTCAACATTTATTATGATCTTTTTCTAATTCAGGAGAATCTTGCATAGGACTTATTATGAATATCAGTATTTTACATTATATTTTAAGATTGCACTTATGAGAAACTTTTCCAAATACCTCCCCCAAGAGCTTGGTAAAATTGGCAGTTAGGATGATGGGTTCTGTTGTGTAGAATCCAGTAGCAAAATATCCCAAAGGAAGGGCATGACCTCAGTGAAAGTCTGGAATTGCCAGTTCTCTGAGGTCCTTGCTTGCTTAAGTTCCTGAGATTCTTTCAAACTGGGTGAGGGAAAAGAAAGGGCTGAGTGGGAAGAAACCCTGGGATAAGGAACAGAGGTCTCATGTCTAATGCTGATCACTTTGTGGCTCAACTTCAGCATTCCAGCTGCTGGATCTTCTCCAGACTGGAAGAATCGCATCATTCCATACTCAAGGTCCTCAATTTTTAAAGCTGCCTGATTCTACTGTATTTCTATGATTTGCACTTGAGTTGAAGTTCTCTAGCAAATTGTATGGGCCTTCACATTGCTAGTTTCCTTCAAAAAAATGTAGTTGTCTGTACTGTTACTAATTTTGGAAAATCAAATAGTATGTAAAGAAAAGTTAAGATTTTCCTTCTAACTTTTAAATGCTTCCATAGGCACCGTTCTGTAGTTTGTATCTCCAGGTCGTACATTTCATGTTTTATCTGTCACATTCTTTGAGTCATTTTAGACTTCTGAAGACTGTTTAGGAGGTTGAAAGTATTTCCTATGCTCTTTAGCCTGGCTTGTTTTTATAAACAGCTCCCCTCTGAAGATCAAAATACATTTTTTATTTTGATATGAAGCTGGTACAATGATTTTTTTTCCCCCGGTGTCTTTTTCCAGGAATATTTAGAAAGCCAAAGCCAGAAACCTGTGTCTGCCCCGCTTTCTCTGGAGCAAGCACTGTTACCAGCTATCCTTCCTTCAAGGTAGGATGTGCAGAGACTTTTGTATGAAACCAACTGTCAACCAGCTATTGATCCTGACATGGCATAGAAAAGCAGGCTTGCGTTAGTGAGTGCACAGTCCTCGTTCCCTTCCTGTCCATCTGGTGGAGTGCAGGAATACTCTGTGTGGAGGGTTTTGTTTATTTACATGTTGAATCTCTTTGATTTTGTAAATCATGTTGGAGTTCTTACTTGATTTATGCTTTTGAATGTTTCAGCTGAAGTCTTTTTGGTGGTAGTTTAGCTTATGCATGTTGTACATAAGTGAGCTGTATAAAAGAGATTTTGATAGTAATTGAATTTTCCAGAACTGAAGATGAATCATAATGTAGAGCCCTACCTTTAGTAGATAAGCAGGTTGAATTTTCAGATGTCTTAAAACATTTATCTCTTAGTTTCTGAATTCCTTCTGCCAATGGGTTTGGAAGTGACTAGCCATGACTAAATAAAGTAGTTTATCTGTGAGAATATATTAGACATAATAAGCTGCATTATGAAGGAAAACAAGCCCCAGAAATGATCTATGTGGGGTCTCTCCCTCCCCTCATGGGTCGTTGGCCACTGATTCACGAGAACAAAGGGAGCAGAAGCGACGAACGGGGTCAGGACGGCCAGTGAGCACTGACGGAAGAAAGCCCTTCCGGGAAGGCAGATTCAGTGACACAAACAGCTCCAGACTCAGTGAAACAGCTCCAGACTCAGTGAAACAGCTCCGTTTATTCAGTGGGGGTCAGGGAAAATATAGTGTGGAGGCAGCAGCCAAAGCTTCAGCTGATAGGTGCTCATAGTATGCTTTATTTACATGTGGTAGGGGGATCCTATCATCCTATAGGGTAATGCCTAATTATCAGATAGAAAATACCTGGGGGCAGTTTTATTGCAGGTAACTATGCCAAAGGTCATGTTCTGAATAAGGTCAGGCATCCGGGCTTGGAGGCACTTTTTAGGTAAGTCAGGCAGGAAGCCCCTGCTGAGAAAGGAGCCGACCTTAACAGCAGGGTTCCCCAACAGATCTACTTGTGGTTTAAAATTTAAATATGTAGTAATTCAAGCTATCTAGTACATTTAAAAATTAATTCTGTATTGTTTGCCATATAAAAGCATGGGGCTACCATGGTGGTACATGCCTGCTATCCCAGCGCTTGGGAGGCAGAGAGAGGCAGGGTAATTGCTGCAGGTTTGATGTCAACCTTGCTAGAGAGTGAGACCCTCATCTCAAAATAAATAAATAAATAGATGTCAGAGCATGGGGCTATAGGAGACCTATTTTAAAAATTTCTTCAGGCCTAATGATGCTGCCAGTGAAGGTCCAGATACATCCAATAACGAGTCCAGGAATGTGGTGGATGAGTCCTTCCGCAGAAGGCTGATTGCAAATCTGGCGGAGCACATCCTCTTCAGTAAGTAGAACTCCACGCTTTGTCCTTGCACAGTTCATGTTTCTCATGAAGCAGCACAGGCCACATGGGTTCAAGCTCTGCTCAGGTTCATTCCTCCTTGGAGTAGGTTACCTAATGCACAGGTTGCAGGGGGTGAGATCCTGGAGCAATAGTACGGGACCTGAGGGCTCGTAATAAAACACTCCACACGATGTCTGATGAGGAAGGGTGCTCATGTGGTGGTTCTCTTGCTTTAAAAATGTATTTGGTCAGGATGCTTTGGATTCTTTTGCTTTGTGTCTTGCCCTACATTACAGCTTTGTAGTGTGTGTCCCTTTCTCCTCTGACCCCGTGTATTTTTAGAAATAATTGAATTTTTGTGCATTTCATACAGTACATCTTAATCATATTTAGGCTCACTCCCCTGTCTGCACTGCCCCACACTTCCCCACCAAATTTCATGTATTCTGTTATATATGTTGAGGTCTATCAAATCAAGTTTATGTCCCCAGATGTCGCTCGGTGTTTCTATTCAGTAAATGTTGAAGCGTTGTCTCAGTTGTGGGGGTGCAGACGGACCCTTAGTGGTTCCGTACTCAGCAGCTCCTGCTCTTCTCGTGGAGTAGCTGCACATAGACGCTGCAGAGGGAGAGCCCGCCAGCATCAAGCATTCCTTGCAGCCCCAGCCACGGTGTTGTGAGTTGTACTGGCTGCTTGAAAATCTGAAGACAGCACAGCTGGTGGGATCTCCTGCTTTCCATTCTACGGGCCATGTCCAGGTCACATTCTCCTCCCTCTCTGTCGGCCCTGTTGCAAGGGGGCCTTTCTCCCAGCTTGCTTCTCCCATTCTCTCACTGTGGCTGTCCCTTTTCCTACTTGACTGCTGGCAATAGGATTACTGTGTGCGTGTGTGTGCGTGTGTACATGCGTGCATGTGTGCGTGTGGTCAAGGATGGAACCCAGGGCCTCATACCTTCTAAACAAGTGTTTCATCACTGAGCTGCACCCTTAGCCCAGAGGTTTCTTTCTTAAGAACGTGTGACTGTGTCTCTCATACCTCAGGTATGGATGCCAAAATAAATACTTCCTGATTGTAAAAGGGTGGAAAATAAACGTGAGATAAACAGCAAAACTTAGTGCTTTAGTAACCAGCAACATCGCTGTCTAGTGTCTGGAAATATTTTATTGCTTTGCATTGTTCTGTTTTCTACTTATTACACATTTATTGATGTTTTTAAGAGCTCTTCATAACTGTTTTTCATAATAGCTGTAAAAATGATACTAGGTTCTTTTCAAACATGATGTGAGTGCAATATTTGAGAATTGTCATCTCAGAAAACTCAAATGATACCTGTTTCTGATTGATATATATGATGACACTTTCTGACAAATTCAATGTTGGGTTATAAAGTATGGGTGTTTCATTTGCATATGTTATCCTTCCCTCTCCTCTGGACCAGATTGAAAAGAAGAAATAAAAATAAAAATGTGTTGAGCATCTTTACTACAGATGTTTACCAGGCCATCATTTCATTCTCATGTAGCCCATGAGCTTCATGGTATTTTCAGAATGGAGGCTCAGCAATTCATGTAATTTGCTCCAAGTCATGATGTTAATGAGTATAGAGGTTAGGATTTGATCCCTTTAGTGTATATGATGGAGACCTGCAAGATGAGGGAAGTAAAACTGTGGTGATAATAGACCATAGCCTGCGACATGCAGGACACACGTGGTGGGGGTCCTCCTAGATCTCCAGAGTGTTCCACATTAGGGTCTGGGTGTCTCAGTCAAGGTGTTTCTTCGTCATTCAGTGACCTAATCCTATTGGTCTAGTTCGAAGGCGGCTCTTTCTTAGACAGTGGCCTGATGAGTAGTGCTGTCTCCAAGGATTCATTCTACGAACACTAGCAAATCTAGTTGTATTTCCATTGTAAATTGCAATTATGGGAAATATGGCAGAAAAAAATTTTATAGTTTCAAATACTCCTTCAAATATAAAGGGCTTGGTTATATTAGAAGAAAGTACAACTAAAGCTGTGTTTCTTCCAGCTGCTAGCAAGTCCTGTGCCATCATGTCCACCCATATCGTGGCCTGCCTGCTCCTCTACAGACACAGGCAGGTATGTCAGTGACGCCACTTGTGGTTCTCTGATGGTCCGAGATGTTTATCAGCTGTTCATATACTTGGGACAGATTGGGCCCATCCGAGGCTGGGACTGTGACCATGAGATAAACAGTGAAAGAAGCTAAAGACCCTACCCAGAGGAATTTATCAACCCAGTGAAGGAAGATGTCTGCATGAAAGAAAGGCAGACTGTAAATACTTATAGGACATCCTTTGATTTATGTGGTTCATGTAAATCAGGTATATTTCAAAGACACATAGTAGGCATTCTGCTGTGAACAGTTTCTAAGCAATTTGGTTTGTATCTTTGAGCCTGCCCTCTGCCCTCCCACAGCGGGCTTGTGTAACTCCACCATGGGAGAGCGCATGCCTTTCATGTTTGTAACACCAGACCTAGGGTCTGTATATAGGCACCATATTTGTGAGATGAATATTTAGTTTGTCATCTTTGCCAGTTTCTGTGGATAGCAGGGCAGTCAGGGCAGGAAGACAATCTGGGAAAGCAGGCTTTCTGCCCCCTGAGACCCATTTTGTCTCTCTCCAGGGAATTCACCTCTCCACACTGGTGGAAGACTTCTTTGTGATGAAGGAAGAAGTCCTGGCTCGTGATTTTGACCTGGGGTTCTCAGGAAATTCAGAAGATGTAGTCATGCACGCTATTCAGCTGCTGGGAAACTGTGTCACGATCACCCACACTAGCAGGAACGATGAGTTTTTTATTACTCCCAGCACCACAGTCCCATCAGTCTTTGAACTCAACTTCTACAGCAATGGGGTGCTTCATGTCTTTATCATGGAGGCCATCATAGGTATGTTAGGCCTGGAACATGGAGTATTGCCTAATTGAGTTTAGATGCTAGCCCCTTGTTGGATGGAAGACACTACTGTAGTTTTAGTCTTCAAATGAAAAGTTAATTTGCTGTCACATTGCTGTGACAGCCATAGCAGGTACTTTTGAATCTGCCCTCTGCATAGTACCGAATTTATCACTGTGGAAGTGAGGTAAGGTGTCATGCTGTCAGAAGCTGAAAACCTGGTTGAGACAGCACATACAGCTAGGAGCGTGGAGGGCTCCTGCAATACCGGGAGGTGGGCAGAGGGGTCTGAGCCCTTGGGAAGACCTTTGATGGGGCTGGGACCTAATGGGATTGTAGGAATGGAATCTGTGGCATTCTACAGATTAAGCTTCTCCAGCAACTGCAAGTGCTTTTGTTTTCTATGTTAACAGGCTCTTAAGGTAATCTAAGAGTCAAAGCTTCCCTTGGAAACCCAGCACTGGTGACTCCATTGTTGCTTGTATTTCCTCAGCCTGCAGCCTTTATGCAGTTTTGAATAAGAGGGGCTCGGGAGGACCTGTCAGCAGCCCTAGCAACCTGATCAGCCAGGAGCAGCTGGTGCGAAAGGCTGCCAGCCTGTGTTATCTGCTCTCCAATGAAGGCACCATCTCGCTCGTGAGTGAAGGCTTTTCCTGCTACCTGCCCTCTCTTGATCACTTATATGGGAACATGAAGCACAGTTATTTTTCTCTTAGAGAACTTTTAGCCTGTTACTGCAGGTTTCTGTTCTACTCCTGGCATTGGCTGTCTTGGTCTATGTCTGGCTCACTGCCTAACTCCAAGGCATGAGAGGGCAGATTGGTGAAGGTTCTCAGTGAGGCCCTAAGTTACTGCACAATTATTGTGCAGAAGGTATTGGGTCAGGGTTCTGTCCCTAATTAGCATACACACTTGTGGGTGATGGAAGCACAGATGATAAGTTGATAAGCCTTAGGAATCATCTCTTCAGCCCCTTCTCAGCTTATGTATAAGGAAACTAGGGCTCAGAAGTGTGAATGTGCTTGTTTGTTTGGTCCCCATGCTTTCAGACATTTGAACTAAGGCCTATATTAAACAGACTTTCTAGTTGCATTCTGTTATTCTTTTCCCCATATATGAATGTATCTTGGGACATTTATGTGTACAGCATTTTGAGCTTGTCCCTCCTCTTTGTGTGTGGTTGGTTGGTGGGTCTCCTGGAGAACCTCCTTTGCATGGCACTTTGCATGGCGCTTGGTGGCAGGATGGAGAAGGGTATGGGCAGGTAAGGCTCCTAAAGCTGGCTTCATCTTTTTCGTGGGTCTTTTCTGAGTTAGTAACATGTTTCTTCATTCACTTCTTGTGTGAACAGTCTTCATTGTGAGATAGCTTTTGCCCAGAGATCATTGTAGAAAGCAAAAGAAACAGTTGTTAAGGGCTGGAGAAGCAGGCCCCTACACAGGGCTTGCTCCATTGGGGAGTGGCATTGAGCCCAAGAGCACCCTCTGTAGGTGGTGCTGCACCAGGTGTATTGTCATTTGTGGGAAAGGGATTTGCCCATGATCATGTTTATCAAGACAGTGGACATCAGAAATCATAGAACTTGTGCAGGGAAGTAGATGGGGTGGTAGAATGGGAGGATTTGATGGATGCTTTAAGAAAAGGTGTACATGACAGTGACATTTACTTTTAAATTGCTTTTCTTTTTAGCCCTGTCAGACTTTTTACCAAGTTTGCCATGAAACAGTAGGAAAGTTTATCCAGTATGGCATTCTTACAGTGGCAGAGGTAAGAGAATGGACCTGCTTTTTTTTTTTTTTTTTTAAATCTGTCTTTATGTAGCTTCTTGTTCTGCATTACTTTCCTACCAGTTATTTAAATTAATATTTTATCATTTACTTTAACCAATAAATACAGTTTCTTATATTTATGTCTAGTTGATAGAGTAAAGTAAGAATGAGGACCAAGTGTCTTCGGATTTTTTAATTTTTAAGTGGTATTTTTGTCTAAATTAAAACATATCTTGACTTGATTTGCTGGTGTCTAGAGGTTGATGAGATACGAAACATATCAAGGTGTACTGATAGTTTATGCATATGTATCTTTCTCTTTTGAGATTTCAACCATGGTTTAATAGATTTAGCGAAGTGCAGAGAGACTGGGAAAGTAGGTATCAGTTTAGAAGATGTGAAAGTTCTGTCTCTAGCACTTTCCCCAACCCCTCTTTGTCCTCCCCTACTGCCTCTGGGGTGGTTTTGAGTTTAGAAGGGTTGAGGATTTGCTTGAGGGATGCCTGACAGAGAAGGATCAGGAAGGGTCTGAAAAGAGGCTGCCTTGTCGTGGGTCCGGTTGGGTGGTTGGTTGTATATGTAAACATTTGTATTTACTGTCAGTCATCTTCTTGGCATAGCAAGATGACCAGGAAGATATCAGTCCTGGTCTTGCAGAGCAGCAGTGGGACAAGAAGCTTCCTGAACCTTTGAACTGGAGAAGTGATGAAGAAGATGAAGACAGTGATTTTGGTGAGGAGCAGCGAGATTGCTATCTGAAGGTACTTTGGTGAAGGATTCTGGGGTACCTTACAGAAGCATTGAGGCTTTTGCTACTCTAGATACCCTGGTACTCTGGGAATTGGCTCATGCCTGAAGTATCAGCTAACCTGTACTGGTGCCTTTTACTGAGTAATGACACTAAAACTGTTTGAATTGAGTTAATGCCTTAAATTGTCGAGCTTGGGGACTGGTAAGTGGAAAAGTAACAAGAATTGAAAAGTAGAAAGCCACAGATGGCTTTTGCCGTCCTTCCATGGGTGCCCCACTCACACCTGGATACCCACACCTACACTGTCTCTTCCTGGCAGTAGTATTAATTTTTTCTTTTCCATTGAGCCTTACTAGTTTCCCCATTGGGCATTGGTCTCATGTCCATACTCTGGTGGAGCTTAGGTGAAGCCACATGTTTGGGTAGGCGCAGTGAGAGGCTCTTCTGCCACAGAGCACCCTTCATATAGCCATTGTTCTCCACGTTGCCTGACATGCAGAGAGGTGTGCAGGGGAAGTGGCGGGTTGGAGCTGGCAAGAGCCTGGGATGATTGCGATGCTGTTCCTTCATGCACACTTGAGTGTATTGCTGTTCTTACCTGCTTTTTGTGTGTGCATGACTGTTATACCCAGACTGTAAACCCTGGGGTGCTCAATCACTAGACAAGCTATTTTCAGTGATGAGAATTTGTAAAAATTCTGTCAGTCAATTAGGAAAATTTCTTGTAGATGACTTTCAGTGAACAAATCCTATAAAAGTGAACAATTGCAATAGAGAACATGCTGATAATCAGCTGCGGTTTCCTAAGGCAATTGCTCAACAGGCTGCTCTAATGTAATCCCAGTGGGAGGGTCATCTTTGCAATTGCTGGTTCCCAGAATTCCTCGGCAGCCGGCTCTGCGTCCCATCCTGTGACCACACTCCTGTCTCGCACTCTCAGGTGAGCCAGTCCACGGAGCACCGGCAGTTCATCTCCTTCCTGCAGCGGCTCCTTGGGCCCTTGTTGGAGGCCTACAGCTCTGCCGCCATCTTTGTCCACAGCTTCAGCGGTCCAGTTCCGGAGCCAGAGTACCTGCAGAAGCTGCACAGGTACCTAATCACCAGGACGGAAAGGAACGTCGCGGTGTATGGTATGTGCAACCAGCGTTCGCCTTCTTTTAGAGTTGTTTTCCTGTTGTTACATAAATCTGCTAATTATGGGAAATAAGGGAAAATGCAAAATTATCCTGACCTCTCAGCCCAGAGATTGCCACTGTTCTCTGCTTTGGCATGTTACATAAATTGAACCATACAGTTGCATATTCTTGTGTCTGCCTTTTTCCACTGAACGTTATTAGTGATATTCATGTTGCATGTGGTTTTGTCTTTTGTGTTGAGTTCCAGTGAACAAGCAGCACTTACTGCTCACTCTGCTGTTGGGCTGTTTGCAGTGTAGACCTGCTTTGCACAGTGCTGCTATGCTGGCGTTTGAATCCCTGTGGTGGGTCCACACTTGAGTGCATGCCAAAGCAACTTTCAGAGCCAGAACAGATCTAGAGATCTAATACAATCATGTGACTTTATGAATGACTGTTCCAGGGCATGTAACTGATGAGTGAGCAAATATGGGCTTAGAATTCTCTTTTCTGACATTAGACTTGTGCCCACGTGGATCTGTGGGCTTAGGAATCTTTCATGCATCACCATCCAGTTTTAGTTTTTCTTGTCTCTTTTAAGCTAGGATCTCATATGTAGCCCCAGCTGGCCTGAGACTTGCTATGCAGACCACCAGGCTGGCCTTAAACTCACAGAGATCCACCTGCCTCTGCCTCCCAAGTCCTGGGATTAAAGATGTGTGCTATCATGTCTGACTCACTGTGTAGTTAAAAATTTAAAAAAAATACATTGTCTTGTTGATTCTCACAAAGCCCTGCAAGATGGATACTTGGGGTATCTCCCTTCCTTTTCTCTTCCCTCTGCTCTGTCTTCTTTCCTCTCCGTTTCTCCTTAGTAAATGACAAACAAGGCTTAAAGGAATAGCAGACCAACTGAGGGAGACCGTCCAGCAGCAGCAGGGAGCTTGTCCAGACAGGCCTCACAGTCATGTTCTCTGTAGTCCCCCATGTAGGGACTCCTGTGCTGGGCTGAACACTGACAGTGCCTTCTTGTTTCCCTGCAGCTGAGAGTGCCACATATTGTCTAGTGAAGAATGCTGTGAAGATGTTTAAGGATATCGGGGTACGTGTCCACTCTTGTGTTGACTTTTGTTCCCTAGTAGATCAAGTCTATTTGCATAGCCTTTGTGGACTTTGTGCTGGGAAAACTGGGAATTTCTGCTTGGGGAAAGACTTGCTGAAGGCAAGGCCATCATGTAGGCTTATTTGAATGGCCCAGGATTTTGCTAGCTTTATACTCCTTCCCAAACTATTGCCGATTATTGTAAACTATTGCCAAACACATAAAGTGTAAGAGCAATCAGTAAGTTTCAAACAGTCAGTGTGTTCAAGTTCAGCTGTTGACTATTCCACGTTTACTTGAAGCTGCATATGGCCTCATGTACCTTTACTGACTTTACTGACCCCCCCCACCCACTTGTGTTTGACATTAATTCTCTCTAATCTTTCTTTTCAGGTTTTCAAAGAGATCAAGCAAAAGAGAGTATCTATTTTAGAACTGAGCAACACTTTCCTACCTCAGTGCAACCGGCAAAAACTCCTAGAATACATTCTGAGTTTCGTGGTGCTGTAGGGAGCTCACAGCACCTGTAGCATGCGTGGAGCTAGAGATGAGTCCCTTGCAGGCTTCAGCCTGACCCAGAGTGGCAGGAGCCCTGGTGTGGCCAGGCTTGCTCTGCCCTAAGGTAACCTCCTGGAGGATAAGTGCCTTCTGCCCCCATGGACCTGTGCTCTTCCCAACTCAGACACAGTGACCTGTGCAGAACACTCGGGGCCCAGCCTCCATTCATGACTCATAATCAGTGGGTTGCTAGGTAAAATCTCAGTAAGTTATTTTGGAGTTTATTAAAGATTCACATTTTAAGTACGACTTTTAAGGACTAATTACTGTGACGGACACAGATGTATGTAGAACTGACTCTTGTATAGTGTGTATAATGTTGTAGCTAAGTCCACGGTCTGTTTTCTCATTAATGGTTACTGCTTCCTTTAAAATAATTGGGTCATCCATTCTCTCTTCCATTTTATCTTTATCCACAGAAGCTACAGTTTATAGGAGAGACCCTTTCGTCCCAAGTGATTTACTAAGGAGTGGGCTGAGCTCTGTCATACCCAGCATCACTCTGCTGCCCTGTGCAGGCAGACTCAAAGTGTTTGAAGAGCTGCCTGAGCAAATGAGACAGTTTAGGTCAGGAAGTGAGATGCGATCAAACGGCTGCCATCAGGATGTAAATCTGACTGGCAGAAGTCACAGTATATTTGCCAGGAAACTGGCACTGCTTTTGCTCATAAGATGAAGTGCCATTGAGTTTTAAATGACCAGCAATTATTTAGAAACTTCTCCTGTTTAATATCTGCATCTTCCCCACCCTTCAAGTAGCAGCCACCTACTGTTTCTTAGGAGCCCTCCAACCCAGCAGCAGCTGTACTAAGTTGATAGCTCTGCTGGAGAGATTGCTGCTATGTGGCACTCTGGTTGCAGACTGCTGACCTAGGACTTTCAGACACTGCTCACAGACTGGGTACCACACCCCAGTCTAGGTGATGGTACTTGGACCCTACTGAGTAGCAGACTGTTAGAAGCATTTATGGATTTTTAGCTTTGAGGAAAAAAAAAAAAAAAAAAAAAAAAAAACTTGGTCCTTTAGACATTTATATGGGCTATGTACCCAAACTCCATTGCCACATAGAGACAAATAATTATGAAAATTTTTCTGTTTATCATGGGTAGGTACCTTTTTGTGAGCAAGGAGCATAATTGTTAGTTGTGGTAATTATGGCAATTTCTTAATGATCATGTAACGTTAAAATTTCTAACAATTTACTGTCCCATATCTCCATGATATGGAACTAGAAATTTTTCTGATGAACGTTGCATAGATTCTTTGAATTTAACATAAAAGTATTAAGGATTAAGCTTGTCCTTTCCTGAACTTAAATTTTAAACACTAATAGTATCTTGTGAGTGATGTGTATTGGAAGAGGGTGAGATACTGCCTGGTATTTCCCATTGTATGAAATCATCTTTCACAGTGTCTGAAATGTCCGTGTGGAGCTCGTAGCCATGCTGTGGTCTTCTCCACTCTTCTTGTGCTGTGCATGTGAAACCTACTTTTTCTCACCACCTTGGAGCTCGTGTGCCATAGTTCACTGTTAGTTGTTGCAGCTGGTGTAGAGAAAGTTGTTCACGTTTTAGCCTTCCATTTTACTGACTAGGGTAGATGAACACTTTCCTTGGCTGTACTTGGGGGATACCCAGGGAGTCTGGCTTATTCCTTTGGGTGTATCTCATGTGAGAAATCAAGCATTTTATTAGTCTCTCTTATTTACCTGTCCTTTAAATGAAAATCAAATCAGAGTCAGTCAGGTGGTAGCAAAGTCAAGGTCAGAATGACTTCCCGGGATGCTGCCGCTCCATTGTCACTTCTGCAAAGAGCCGCTGCTTTTGCAGTCTGAGCAGAGATGCTCTTGCCTCCTTTGCTCTGCTTTCCCTTTTGGTTGGCTTGTTTTTAAAACACTCAATCGCTTTAGGGAACGCAATTCACTAGCTGTCGCCAGCCACTTAACTCACTGTGAGGATAAATATGCATGCTTTTTGTAATTCACTGGTGCTTTGAAAACCCTTTTTCAAGGAAGAAAAATCTCAACCAAAGTTAGGCTCATCCAGACACGCAGACCCTGAATTAATTTCAGCACAACTCATTCTTCAGTGCCTCATTGCATACGGCTTCCAGACAGCATGTTTTGCTATTAGAAACATTCTTGTTTTCTAGCAGTGGATGGCTTCCTTCTAATGTAAAACAATCGAGGTGCTTGTACATAGTTTACTGTCGTTTACTGCATTTCTGTAAAACCGAAATGCATGCCCTTCAGGGGAAGACTGTGAGTCAAATTAAAAAAAAAAAAGAAAAAACCCTAAACTAAGCAATATGAAACTGCACTGTTATACTGTTTTTAAAGCTAAAACAACCTAAGTAATTCAGGAGAGGGAAAGGACCTTTTGCTCTTAAAACTCTAAGGAAAGCAAAGGCAAAAAAAAACAAGTGCTCAGTGTATGAAGCTAGGGACTGAGAGAGCACCGTAGAGTGGAGAAAACAGCCAGGATGGACATGAGCGGAAACTCAGACTGGAGTTCCTGGAGCCATATCTCCCACAGTGCTGTCTGTCATGGGAGCACTCTGTGAGATGTTCTGGGGGAAGTGCTGGGTTCTGGGGGAAGTGCTGCTGGTATACGGAGTTTGCACATGGAAACTACAGTGCCCTGACATGCAGTGAGCATTCAGTATCCCGCAGTGCACAGCCTTCTGGCTGACTCCAGTATTTCCAAACTCCTCAGGACCTTTCTCCCCTCTAGGATGCCTCAGAACCTCTCACGAGCATGCTTGGAAAACATTTTGGAAACTATATTAGTTCTTCAATGCAGACCAAGCAGTAACAATGGCGCTGAGGCAGAACTTGCGTGTACCATCCTCGGTTTACCAAGTGAACATGTATTTCCCCCACTGGACAGAGTAAGCCAGGGAAACTGCAATACCAGTGGCCCCAGCCCTTTCCTTTGGTGGAAAGATCAGCCATCCATGACCCTGGTCGTTTTTTTTTACTGGAAGTAGCAGAATTGATAACAAGGATTAATTGGGGGTAAATAATAAAGATTTTGATTTAGATCTAGAAGAAAACATTGTACAAGTGAATGCAAACTTTTATCCATAGGTAGCTGTAGCATTTTGAAATGATAGGCCCTGTCATTGAAGTTTGTAAAATGTGCTATGGAATGTAAATCGGTTTTTTAAAAACACTTTTTAGGAGCTTGAGAGTTGCCATGTGGCATTTTAGTTTAGTACAAACTACTGGTCGATTCAGAAAAGACTCTTGACCTCACTTCCACAGCTTAAGGGCTAATTGTCTTCATGGGAGGTATTAAAATATTTGCCTACAAAGTAACATTAGATTGTTGTAAAAAAGAATTACCATTGTAAAATAGCACTGTGTGATTTTGTGAGTGACGTTTACTTGGAAATGTTGAGTGATTTTTATGCCTAATGAGAATGTATTGTGAAAAGCACAGAAATGTAGCTTTGTTTTAATAAATAAACGAGAAAAACCATCTATTGCTAATGTCTTGGACTTGTCATTAAAAGTTCCATATGTAATTCATTTATTATTCTTGTTGACTTCCCACAGAATTTTATTAAAATGCTTACTATCTCATGTGGCATTGTCTTGTGAGCCTGGAGGGCTGTTTTCCTGGCTCACACTCTACAAAGGGGACGAAGCACTAGGAGCAGAAGGTCTGCTGTTCTCCACATCACAGGGATGTTCTTTAGGTTTTTAGACTCCTTTCAGCATGCATTCTGCTATCTGCTTTTTATATACATTAACTTTATACAAAGTGCGCTCATGGCCCAGGTGTTCCCCACTAGTTTATAATAGTTGCTCAAAAATATTAGTTTATTTGTTTTTTTGGCATAAGTAAACTATTTCTTTGATCAGAGCTCAGATTTTTAAATTTTTATCTATTTTCTTCAGTGTATATTTTAATTGAATTTTTGTGTATTTCGTACAATGCGTCTTGATCATATTTAGATTCCCTTTCCTATCTGCCCACCCCCCAATAGGCCTCCCACCAAATTTCATGCATTCTGTCATACCTGTTAAGGCCTATTGAGTCAAGTTTGTGTTCTCATGTGTCCCTTGGTATTTGTTCAGCCCCTGGAGCCTGGTCAGTCTATCGCATTACTCCCTTAAAGAAGACCAATTCTCTCCCTTGCCCAGCAGTGATCAGCTGCCAGTAGGTCCTCACCTAAGGTGGGTCTTCTTACCCATTTCCCCAGTTCTATGCTGGGTTTTTGTCTGGTGAGTTTGCATGGGTCTTGTGCATGCTGTCACCATTGCTGTAAGCTCATATGAGCAAGTTCCCAGAAGCCTCTGAAATTGTTCCCTTGTGGCCATCCACCCTCACAATCTTTCCACACCCTCTTCCCCAGTGGTCCCTGAGCCCTGGGTGACAGAGGTGTAACACAGGAGTCCTGTCCAGGGGCGCACATTCTGCAGTCTCATATTCTCTACATTTTGGCCAGTTGTGGCTTTCCGTGTTAATCACCCTCTGTTGGATGAGGAAGCTTCCCTGGTGAGAGTTGAGAGATGCATTAATATTCTCTCTACCTCTGTTCTGCTATGTTCCTTGAGCCTTAGGTGTAGAGGTTCCATTGTGGATGTGTCACATAGGGCCGGGGATCTCACAGACACTTATTCTCTGTGTATGACCAGTTGTGGAACTCTGTAATAGTCTCCACATACTTTTCTGTAAATATAAGGGTACATCTTTATTTTTAACTTCCCAGACTGTGACTCTAGAAGTTCAATTAGGTGATTACATTTTCTGTGGGGCGTAGGTGATATACACTGGGGCTATAGAAGAGTAACAGAAAGATGGTGGAAAACCTCTTGGTGCCTGGGAATGGGCAAGATCCAGTGTTAAGGAAGGCCTGGGTGCCCAGGACCACATGTGGAGTCAAGACCACAGCTGGCCATCAAGAGAGGTGGGAAGTTCCATTCTTGACAGTCAGTCCTCCCATGACTAGAAACTGCAAATGACAGAAACTTCCCCTGTCCTCAGGATAAACCCAACACAGAGGCAAAGCCACTGCCCTGCACAACCTGGGACCTCAGGGGAGGGGGCTGTGGGAGTGCAGCCACTCGAAGACTGAAACTGCTGCCCAACATCGGGAAGTCCTCCATCCTCCAATCTGTTCCACCATCAGCCCATCACCAGAGAAATGTGGAACCCTGGCTCAGGGTTGGGGACCACAGCTCCAGGTTCATGGGAGGGGACCGCAGCTTCGGTTCCCCAGGGTTTGGGGCATTCTGGTAGAGCACATATTTTTACAGATTTTTTGAAAGTACTCAGATTCAACCTGCCCTAGAAGTGTGTAGGGAGATCCAGGGTAAAACTATTCCATTTTATAAATGATGAAACCGAGGCTCAGGGGTGAAGTTTGCTGAAGACTTTGGCCAAGGTAGAGTTCAGATTTGTCCTGGATCATTGTGACCCCCTTTTACCTGAGTTTTGCAAATTCTCCCTGTATCCTGGAGCTATTGGTTGAAGTGTGGTGTGGCTACAACATAGTAGAGAGCTACACATCACCTCAGACTGGGGAAAAGACCATAAGATGGCAAGTAAAAAACTTTGCAGTTCCCTCTTAGACTGCCGTTGCACAGGGTGGAGCAGGCCAATAGCCCAAGGTTGCAGATGGCTGGACATGCCACCATTTCATGCCATCAAGTCCAGCAGTCATGAGTGCATGCTACTTCTATTATCATACTGTGTGGATCACTTGATGACAGTGTTTAACAACTCAAAAGAACTAAATAGCAATAACACAAAGACATGCTGTTGACAAAGCATGTGGCTAATGTTTGAGCTTGATGTTCAACACTCTGGCATTTGTTCAGCGGAGGCACTCAGCAACCCTGGTGGATCCATGTCTGGAAGAAAACAGCACTGCAGTAGTCTGGAGATGGCATTTACTTGGGAGGTGTGGAGCACAAAGCAGGCTTTAGCTGGGTCTGCTTTGAAATCCCACACAATGCTCCCTGGATTGAAAAGCGTATCTGTCATTGGTGGAAGAAGTAGCCATTCCACCTCATCCTCCCACATCATGTGAGGCGCCATGAATCATTTCCAGACCTGCAACCTTGGGATGATCTAATGGGGCATTAACTACACGATGCCTTCAGATCCTCCTATGCCAGCCATCTTTTACAGGATGGCTTCCATCTGTAGATGAGGAATTTCTGGTGCATCTCACCTGCGGGAGCCTTCCAGCCTCAGTGTTACTGCATAGGAGCACTGTTCCATGCAGTACTCCAGTTAACTTGGAAGAGTATGTCTAAAATGGACAGCAGAACACAACTGCCTTTGACCAAAGGTGGAACTAAATTTTTATTGCCCCAAACTTTGCATTTTGATGTATAAAAATTCATTTTGCTTCCATCACCTACCACAAGGGTCAGATTAAATGATGGGTTTCTGGCTGTTGTTTTAATTCAATTTTATTACAATAATATCTTAGCACCCAGAAGATAAGTTTACATAAAAGTAAAATGTTGAGGTTGAAAGTAATTGTTAGGGCATTCGGGGGAGGGATAGAGAGATGGATCAGTAGGTAAGAGTGCTTGCTGCCCAAGCATGGTGGGAGTTCAGATCATAGCACTGACCATGTAAAAAGTTGGGCACAGATGCGCAGGAGTACCAGCAACTCCAGTGCTGTTGAGGAGGTGGGGCCGGGGTGGGTGGAGACAGGAGGATCACTGGGGCTTTCTGGCTGCCAGCCTGACTCCAGGTTCAGTGAAAGAACCTGTCTCAAAGGCATAAGGTGGAGCGTGATAGAGCAGGACACCTAAGGTCCACCTTTGACTTCTGGGTGCATGTGCCTGCACATACACCACACATACAAACTAACACACACACACACACACACACACACACACACACACACACACACACTAATAACTAGATAATAAAGGGAAGAGCATTTGGGTCTCATGGAACTGTAGGTGGTAGGTAGCAAGCGGTGAATGCTGAACATGGGTTCTCTGTAGTCAAATCAGGAGCCCACAGATAGGGCACCACCCACAGGATGTGTGCTCTAAAGAAATCAATAGTCAAAATTACAAAAGAACCTGGGATTGAGTGCTTTGCTATTTAAAGTAACTCTCTGGCAAGGTCTTTAGTAATAGGAAGCTCAAGTATGCACATTAGAGTTAGTAATTGCATATATGACTTTGGGCACACACTTGAATTCAAACTTTCGTAAACTGGGGCTAATAACAATAGCAACTTGAGTCCATGGAAGTGTCCCCAAAATAAATTAATTCTTTCAGCATGAGGATGGACTTCTTTTATTGTATTTATTTATTTTTTGAGAGAGGATTTCACTATATATCCCTGGCTGGCCTGGAACTCACTATGTAGATCAGGCTGCCCTTGAACTCACAGAGATCCAACCTGCCTCTGCCTCCCAAGTGCTGGAATTGAAGACGTGTGCCAGCTGGGTTTTCTTGGGGCAGGTTTTTACAATGGACTTTGAAGCTCTCTCCCTAGTTGTGCTTGACTACCCTGGCAGTCACCCGTGGGAGTTGCTGTACTCTTCCTGTATCTCTCTGCAGAGGATGCTCCTGGACGCTGCCCAAAGTGCTGGTGAGCTAACAATATCACATGCATGACCTCCAACTTGTGAGGTTCGGGAACCAGTGATAACCTAGCTTCTTTTCCCCCAAGGGGAGCATTTTCAGACTCCCAGTGGTACTAGGCTTCGGTTGCCCATAGCACTGACCCACTCATTAACACCCTTTTAAGTTCCTCCTTCTGTGTCTCCCTTGACTCATCTCTTGCTGGTTCTTGGCATCAACATGCACATACATGATTTGAATTCACATCTCTTGAGCTGCTTTTAGGGAAACCAAATGAGGATAGTCCTCATGACTTCATTAGACTAGATGCTGAGCTGTGAAGCTATGTCAGGAGCTAGTGTTTCCAAAGACTATTAAGTTGGACTTAGCCAATGTAATCACTCCAGCTGGCAGAGAGAGGGAGAGGGAGACTCCTACCTGAACATTTCAAGTGAGCAGCGGAGAGCCTCATGAAAGAGTGGCAGTGGGGGAATGATCTGTGAACACTTCCCTAGCTCATCTGTTGGTCCCAGAGAGGAAGGCCCACTGTAATGATTAGAGATCGTAGAGTCTGAGTGTGTACAAAGTGCTAGTGCTATCAAGAGCAAATAAATATTCAGAGTCCAGAGTTTGGTGTTTGTGGAGACAATATGAGTGGTACACGCCACCCTCAACCCTGGAGCAGTATTGACTCTCCTTGGGGATAAAAACTATACCTAATAAAAATTCCCTACAGAACTGCACTTGGCTAAGGAAGGTCTGGAGCTTGCTGGACTTGGGTGGAGATGGGGCATGATTAAGGAGTTCTCATCTCAAAGACACTATGCCACTGGGTGTGGAAGGAAAGACAAGAACACATAAGAGGCAGGAATCCTTTCGACATTTTACCTGCAAGTTGAATTTGAAAAAACTATTAAGTGGTGGCACATGCCT